CATTTGACCTGTAGAAGTCTGCCAGTGAACAGTTAATTGAACATGTCTGTTAAAAATAAATAAATGAATAAATAAATAAATAGTCATAGAAAATACTTCCCTGTTTTCAATATATACTGATTCTCTTTCAGCCTTCTGAGAGACTTTTTTGTAAGGTTTTATTTTGCAGTGAAACTTGGTAAGAGATTGATTTTTTTAAGTGTTCAGCAGTGGCTTATTGGAAGAAAAACAAGTTGCCCATTATCATTGAACCGTAGCACACAGAACAGGATGCAATGGATGCTGTTTAAAAAATCAATACTCCTATTGCCATAATGATAACATGAAACCAAACCGTTAGTTAAACAAAGACTTTGTCCTCTGTTCAATGAAACAACGACATTTCTGTTACAGTGGTAATTAAATAAGAGGGAGATTGCAGCTAGTTTATTTCTTAGCAAGCATCAAGACTTACTGAGGATTTTCACGATGCATTTCAATTGCATATTCACTTTCCAGAGTTATTCTCTTTATTGTCTAGCTTAAACTAAATAAAGCTGGTTAGTTCATTTAGTTGTCAGACTAATGTCCGTTTTCACGTTCTGGCCTTTCCTGAAACTGTCATCTGTGCAGATCTTGCACTGTGTGTGTGAAGTTTCCACTGTTCACATGGGAGCTGGGCACATGGAGCATTTATGAAATTAGACTTGCAGTAAGACAATTTATTACTTATAGGAAGTATTCAAACATTTAAGTTATCAAAATATAAGTAGTTCTTGCTCCTTCTCCCTTCTGATGACTTCAGTTACAAAGGAAGCCTTCTGTAAAAGTACTTCTATTAACTTTGCTTTTTTAGAAAAGCGTTTCACAGACCGTGTAGGGGAGTAGTTCAGCAAGTGTTGTTTCTGTCATATTAAAAAGTTGAAGCAGAATTTTCTGGACATTTATTTCTACCTTTTGTACTCAACGTGGCAAAGACTTGTGTATGTTTAAGCAGATAAGCAGACACCAATTAAAATAACGTGAGCTTCTTGCATGCTTAAAGTAAAACACAAGTCTCTCTCAGAGTCAGACCCTGTGCTTATAAAGTCTTTGCTATGGAAAATGCTAAGAATGTTCTCTGTTTCTCACTTTACCATTTACTAAGTGTTGGTAAGCTTTTGTTTCAAATATAGAAAAAACCTGTAAAACATCCATTTTAACATTTTTAATCTTATTTTTGAGACTTTCAGCTTATTTAAATTAATGGCAGGAATTCTTGTGACAGACTGTCCTTCATTGGTGTCTTGACAATCAGTGCTGTTTGAATGATGTTTGCTTTCCTCTTTAAAGGCTGAATGGAAACCTGAATGTCTATTAACGTCATTGTACTGTAGTAACATTTTTAAAGATTAGGAAGCCAACTGGGATATTGATCAGGATTGAATCTGTTTAGAAATTCAATTGTGACTTTAGAAAAAGGAGCATATTTTAAAACTGAGCTTGTTTAATGTACACGTTTGAGTTGGTTGTACTCTGAAGGACAAAATGCATTCAAATTTAAGTGGCAATAAAGGCTCTGTTGTAATATTCTATGGAAACTGTGGAATGTGAAATCAACTTTCTGTATTTGATCACAGAAAGCAAAAGTCAGAGAAGCACACCTATTCCCAGGTATTTAACACCCTTGAATAACTGGCTGCTCGTACATTTTTTAATGATCTTAGATAAATAAGGCACAAGTCCATTTTAAAATATTTTTGATGATTGTGGGTTAGAAGTAGGACTGAATAAATTTCAGATAAAAAGGATATTCTTTAAGAAGAAAACATGTTACTTACAGGGCATGTATGTTAAATTTCACATACATGGAATCAACATTAAATGTGGGAATATTTTTAATAATTAATCTGTACTCCCAAAATACGTTGCAAGCCAGTGTTCAAACAGTTTCATAATTGAAAAACTGCACATAGTGTAAGTGTTGTATCTGTTTGGCATACCAGGGAGATCCGAGCTCCTACAAAAATAGCAAATTTTTGTAAAAGGAATCATCTACTTTTAATTCCTTGGGATGTTTTCTGGAACTCTCTGTTCATTATAATTTAGAAAACTATTGTTTATGTTATTGTATTTTAATTTCAAGTTAAAAACCTTGCAAAAGTTGTTAATTTCTCACAGCTTCTTTTGTGAAATCAGCATTGTTACGTGTGATAGCATTTAAAAATAATAGCATGTTCTTTTTTTAATCTGAATTTTATATCTAATCAATGTCTTCAGTCATGAAGAGAAATTTGCATTGTTGTGTTTGTATATAGAGTATTGCAGTGCATGATTTAGCTTATGCATTTTATTAAATGCTGTTTAAATGTGGCATTATATTGTTGTGGCTTAATACTACTACCTAAATGAGGTTTATACCATTAAAGTGAATTACAAATATAAATGCATTCTTGAGTTCTATTTTTAAGTTCACTTAATTTCTTCTTAAACATTAGGTGTGTAAGCCAAATACATAATTTACTATCTTTCAGAGAGAAACAGTATTTTCCCTTCACTACAGTGATGATGAGTGATTTAACCGGGTCTAAGACAGAAGATAAATCCCATGAACCTTACTGACACCAGGGAGCTACTTCTAGGAGAAGGACCTTTTCCTAAAGGTTTTAATTCATCTTCTTTAGCCTTCTGTTTTTCTCAGATTTTTTGAGGAGATAGATAGTTAGCTATTAATAGACAATGCTTTATGTTTACTTTTATCTGGTAGCTCCTTCCTGTTCCCCAGTTTTTAAATTAAGGTGATGCACTGGATCTTGGTTTAGTTCCCTTCACACACACTTCATAACAGAGGTTATGAACTCGGACTCTATTCCCAGCAGTAAAGGCAGCCTCCATTTTACATATAACATGGTTGAGATGCACCACATGTATTTATACAGAGAAGATGATAGATGATAGTTAACTTCATTTCTTGTTGCTGCTATTAGAAACTGTGCAGCTTAGAGAAGTTTCTCTTAGCAGAAGTGAGGGTAATCGGACTTCAGGTTTCAGTTGTCAAATCCAGGTGTCTACAAGAAAAACATGCATGGGAAGCAAAAAAAGGTCCTTTTCATTTAGAGGCCTACTGTGAAGCAGGAGTTTTTGTTGCCAAGTTTGAAAAGGTCAATCCTCTGCCAATTGAAATTGTGTCCACACAACAGAGTGGACAATTTGTTACTCTATCTGTAGACCATCTAGAAAAGAAACTACAGGCGCTCAGAAGGGTACTACTAGTCAGGATCGGTGTGCACTGACAGAATTTCAGGTAGGAAACGTTTCAGAGCATTTCTATATCCTGTGGCATGAACCCACGCATCGAGTCTGGCAGAGTTTTCTTCAGCACGATACAAAAACTCACGGATGCTTCTCCTCACAGTCCGAATCCCCCAAGGGAGAAACGGAGTATTCAGAGAGTCCCTGAAATGAAACTCAATAGCAACGAAGTTACTATTAAGCAGGTATTCTTCATTGCAGCGCCGGGCAGCACTGGGGATTCTCCACCACAAGTGCTCCACCGATTTGGTGGACTTTCAGAGATTATATACTATAAAATCCTACATATTCACAGGATTTCCGAGAAATCATTTACATAAACATGAGATTTCCTGGAACTCATTAACGTATGCAAATGTCCAATCCGCATGCGCAGTTGTCTCCCGTGGTGGTCTTCAGGTGGTCTTTGGGGGTCTTCAGATGAAGGCTTGTAGTCTTCTTCACTGTGCTCGCTGATTGACCTCTACTTCTGCGCAAACTCAGTCCCAGCATCACGTAAACTGTGTCCCTCAAGGCTGTCATCATCCTATTGTGACCTCCCATCTTCCATGCATTTGTTCTCCAAGGCCCAGTTGTCTGAGATGGGATTATCCCGGAGCCCCCTTATCTTACAACCATTCTAACTACTCCCTAAATCACAAACGCCTTTCTTTTGTTTAGTTAAGTGACTAAAATATTTAAATATACTCCTTGCTCCTAGGCTTTTCAGGAGGCATTTTGATGCAGTGGCTTTGTCTATCTTGGCTTTAACCCTTTCAAGCACAATATGCATTTTTTGTACTTGGCAGAGTTGTCTGACTTGTTACAGACAAAAACGTACATTCATTCATGTCATGCCAAATAATGTATTAAATTGAGTTGCTTTTTATATTTCTTTAGCCGCTTAAACGAAAGTAATAGTGAAAAAGTAGAAGAAAAAAACACACAACAAAACCCCCTTGCCAATAGCACGTTTCAGAAATTTGATTTGCATCAAGATACGACGTTACTACAAAAGGAAACAACAAAAATGAAGTAAAATTTTTTTTTTACTTTTTTTAGGTTTTTTTACTTTTTTTTTTTACTTTTTCATTTTTTCTTTTCTTTATTCCTCCTCCCCCCCACACCTCCCTCACGGGAGAAGAGTTGCGGCCCTTTCTTTATGTTTTAGCTCACCTTCCAACTCTTCTACTTCCCTTAATTGTTACTACCTAGTTATTTCTCCCGCTTTAGCTGTCACATTGGGATACCTGCGTGTACCTTACATACTTTTTTCATGTCACCCTTTCTTATGATCTTTGCCTCCAAAACACCTGGTTTGGGGCGGGTTTGACTTCCTCACGTTAGGAAAGGAAGCGCGGTTTCCCTTCGGAGACGCCAGCCAAGGGCGGCGGCTGGGGACGAGCAGAGGAGCGAGCGGAGGCCGCCCGGGCCCGCAGCCGGCCCTCGACGTACCGCCTTCCAACAGCCCCAAAACCCTTGCTCAGCTGCAAAACCCAGCTCACGATGGCAGAGTCTCTGATATAAACTGCAAGACACCGGTGAAAAGGACATCCGGCTTTGCGCACCTTCTTTGGGCCTTACAGACCTCTCTAAGAGAGCGGGAGAAACGGCTGGGAGAGGCGCGCAGACGGCACCGCCGGCGGGTTAAGCGGCACCTCCGCCCCGGCGGGTTAAGCGGCACCTCCGCCCCGGCAGGCTGCCGGCGGAGGGAGGCGCGGCGCGGCCCCGTCGCCCCCTGCGTCGCCCGAGGAGCGGGCGCGGGAGGCGGGCGCAGGCGGCCGCCATGCCGATGAAAGGCCGGTTCCCCATCAGGCGGACGCTGCAGTATCTGAGCCAGGGCGACGTCATCTTCAAGAGCTCGGTGAAGGTGATGACGGTGAACTACAACACGGCGGGAGAGCTGAGCGAGGGGGCGAGGTGAGCGCGGGGCCGCGGCGGGAGCGCGGGGCGGTCTGCCCCTTCCTCAGAGGCATCTCGGCTGGCGTTTGTGCGTTTTTCTTCTCCTTCTTTCCAGAAAGTTTGTGTTTTTCAACATCCCCCAGATCCAGTACAAGAACCCCTGGGTGCAGATCATGCTGTTCAGGAACATGACCCCCTCGCCCTTCCTCCGCTTCTACTTGGGTAGGTGGCGCCGGGAGCGGGCGGGCCTGTCCCGCCCCGAGGGCCCTGTCCCTCCGGGAGCCCCGGGCAGGGCTGCCCCGGGCAGGGCTGCCCCCAGCGGGTTCGCCTGCAGGGGCATCAGAGCAGCGACGGTTTTCACGCCGGGAGGGTGGTTCGATCCGCGTTTCTGCCGCGCTAACCGCCAGGGAGGAAGAAGGGTGCTTGTTAGCATGTATGTGTTAGCAAAGAAACATTACAGTGTACATTCACCGCGGTAGGGAAGCAGATGGCTGAGTCTTGTGTGTTTAAAGCACTTTCTGCAGCTACTGTGAAACAGCAATAGGTTTGACATACTATTACAAATCTTTCTTGGCAGACAACGGAGAACAAGTTTTGGTTGATGTGGAAGATAAAACCAACAAAGAGATAACAGAGCACATCAAAAAAATCTTGGGGAAAAGCAAGTAAGTACACTTAATAAACTAACATACATTATAATACAATCCCTGCGAACTGTTGTCAGGTATACAGAAAGAAATACTACTTTTCCCAGACAAAATGGGCATGAGCTACATAAAGTCCACAAACTAGGAATTGTAAATCCATCATTCTGGTAGATTGGGGCCAGGGAAGGGAAAGGAAATATTGCCATTCAGGCTTCTGATAGTAACAAACAGATCTCTCTTCTAGAGAAACGCTTGAAAAAGAGGAAAGAGAAAGGAAAAAACTATCACATCCAGCAACTTTTGGGCCCAAGAAGTATCATCTGCGAGAATGCATGTGTGAAATTGAAGGCCAAGTTCCCTGCCCTGCTTTTGTGCCACTGCCCAAAGAGATGAGGGGAAAATTCAAAGCTGCTACGAAAAATGAAGCATCGGCCTGACATCTCAAGTCACGCGGTTTTTTCCTCAGGGCTGGATGGTGAAGGTACTTCAGTGAGAGACAAGAGCTAACAGCTCCTGGAAACAGGAACAAGCAAGTTCATGTAATACAGACAACTTTGCCTCGTAAGTCTTCTTACAGCTACAACTAGACTAATTAAAGTGAAAAATAAAAGTTAAAAATCCAGCTTTTTTGGTGCCAGTTTTACAAAGCCTTACAGTCAACACTGCATAAAAGGAAAACAAAACACGGAAAACAGAGTGACTAGAGCCCTATTTCCTACTCGTGCCTGCATGTATAAGGTTATGGCAAAACCAAGGTCACATTTGCTTTGGGATAGAGAGACTAGACTAAAAAGTTAATTTATCTTAGAAGCAGCAGGGAATTCCACAATTTATAGAAAGTGGTGCAGAAATCAGCAGGA